GTACATAACGTGTGAACAATCCTTTCCTGGGGTGTGGTTTTATTAACAAAGAAAATGGCCAGAAAAGAACATTTAAAAAATGGTTCTGATTTTCTACCCAGTTCTGGCTGTTTCTAGAGTTCCTCTCTCTAGATGACTCGGCTCATACCTGCAGTCCTCTCCCAACCAGTCTTGCCAGCAGAACTGATTTAACCATTTCACAACAAGCTGATTTACCAGAGTGGGTGTTGCAGGCAGGCTTGGCACCTGGTTCTAGTGGTGCTTTACACTAACAGTTTGCTCATCTTTATGTCAAGCTGTGGGGCTTTTGGGTTTATTGCATTGAGTTGGTGGGTACCGCCTAGAAATACTGTTACTGAGTAAGGGATACATTTCCCCTTCTGTTTGTATTAAGCAAGGAGTTGACTTTCACCAGAAAATACTGGCAAGGCTTATAGGGTTTTGGCTCTCATTTCCACTGAGTTGAGTGTCATTGTTAGTGATAATTTGATTGCTGCACTTTGTCCCTGCCAAATGATAACTTAGTTGCAGCTTCTCTGTGGGTCCATCTGGGGTGGCTGCTGCAGCTTTTTGTTTCTAATTTTATTAAAAGTATTAAGCATAAATGCTGTCTTTGGGGGAAGCAGATTCAGACAGTCTGACTCTTGTGTCCTCCCAAAGCCAAGCATAGAATGGAAATGCTAATGTTGTGGTAATACCAGTATGATGGGCGCTGAAGCTGTGGTCTACTGAAAGAAGCCAAAGATATATTTGACAGGACAGACATCCTTTAGCTCAGCTGTGTGCCCCCCTGGGGGAAGCATAGGGGGCATGTGTCCTCCTGGATTTGTGTGCAGGGCAAGGGTGGACGGCCCACTGTGAGCTCAGGACCAGGGGCTGTGCCAGCGTCTTCCTGGAGGTGGGGCTGGGCCAGGGCTGTGTTCAGGGCGGGCAGGGGTGGGGCAGGCAGTGGCAGCAGTGGGAGGGGTGGCTACGGGGTGGGCTATGGTCACCCCAAAATTTGCCATAGCATCCCCCCCTCCCCATACCCGTAGCTACCCCTTGCCTGTGCCACAGCTGCCTGCCCTGCCCCCTGCTTGCTCGGGGCCTAGCTCTCCTGCAGGAAAGAGACCAGCACAACCTCTGGCCCTGCCCACAAATCTAGCGGGTCACATGCTCTTCCAGGAGTGTGCGGAGCGGTGGGGAACCTCCACCACCCCTCTGCACCCCCCGAGCGAGCCGCCTGCAGCTTCGTTGTGCTCCCAATGGGGTCGCATTGACTGCCCTGGCTGGGCAGCGCCTGACCCTGCCCCACTCCCTCCTTCACCATGGGGAGGCCTCAGTCTGCCCCCCACCCTTCCTCCCCACAGACTTACCAGCAGGACACTGCTCTCCAAGCTGCCAGGCTGCATTACTGGCCACGTGCATGCCCTGTGGTTGCGCACAGCATTTATCAATAACATTACTGGCCAAAAAAAGGCGATTGCCAATAATGTTAATTTTCCTGTTATGCTGATGCAACCGATTATATTGGTGCACCTCTACGTGTTACCTCCTGCTTGTCTTGCTTCACTGGTGCCCTGGCTGTTTCCTCTGTGGGCAGCATCTCTGTAGCCCTGGCTGCCTGAGCTCTGCCTTGGAGGCGTAGTTCTCACCTTGAGAAACACATATACACAAAGTAGGTGTTTTTATGCAAAACGTTAGTCCCAGTTTTCAGCTCTGACAGAGGGGACCTAGCCCCTCAGTTCTTACACAGTCTCTGTACCCCAGGAATGCAGAGGGCTAAGCTGGAGCAGACCCAAGAGCTGTTGTAATGTATGCTACAGTGCCACAGCTGTCCGTGATACAGCATGGCAGACTAGATGAGCCATTGTGTTGTAGGTTCTGGCCCTTCGCCCTTCCTTACCTAATGCATTCTTTTCCTCCCCTGTGTTTCTAAGGATCACACAGACCTGTAACATGGGGGTCTGCCACTGAGGACAGCAGGTCCTCAATGGTTAAGGGCAGAGCCTGGAGTCTTTGCATTCAGTACACAAACTAAAGGGACCAAACAAATTTACAGAAGCAATAAACGGTGTTTCCTACATGATTATTTCAGATAAAGGACCCTTTTTGTTGTGTTCCACCCTTCCAAGCCTTGACTTCATGGTGAGCTTTCTTACTGCTGGATGGGATGGAACTGACTTCACTCTGCGCTCTATCAATGGACCCAGCCTTTGACATACTTTTCCCTGTCTTTTTCTTCTCCCTCCCTTGGGTAACCAAGCTAGCCCAGTTGCAAGCAATATAATGGTTAATTTTGACAGCAGGAAAGCATCACTGGATAAGCCAGCAGATGCTGTACTTTAAATTTGTTTTGCTATAAGCTGTGTCTCTAAGCCTTGAGGGGAAGTCTAGGGTAGTAATTGCTTTATGGTTTACCTGTGGATATCGCCCTAGTTAGAGGAAATGGCCATGCACTCATTCAGGCAACATGTGATAGCTGAGTCTTGTGGTAAATATGTAACTTCTTTCTGCTGCCTTCTCTTCCTCTAAGAAGTAGCCTTATATTGGATACTTTGTTACAATGTAAAACTAGTAAATACAATAGATAAAGCAGACAAAATACATACTTAACTAGTTATGTTTTTATTAGTTGGGATGATCAACATTTTTTTTAATAACCCAATACATACTGAGATTGAATCCTGTATTAGGAATAGAAGGCTGAAACATTACACATTTCTTTTCAGGTTTTGATAAGTATGGTTTGAACAATGACAAGTTCAATGTCTTGACCTGTATAAACCCTCCAAAGTATATCTTATGAGCTTTTGGATCATCATCCATTTGGAATGAATAAGGGTGGATTGAAGTTTGGGGACAGAGCAGGTTGTGTCCTCCCTGGCCTTTTTAGTTGGAAGTATATTAACCAGGAAAACAAGTTACCAAGACATGAGAGAGAGTCCTTATTGCTCAAAGTCTTTAAATCAAGTTTAGGTGTCTTTTGAAGAGATACGGTAGCGGAATCAGCCAAAAGCTTGATGTAATAATGTGAAATTTGGGGGATGGAATGCAGCAGGTTAGACTAAGTGTTCATAGTAGTCCCTTCTGGCTTCAAAATCTTTGTATCTGGGTTCCAAGCACAAACCAGGTTTTATCCACAAATATCTGTGCAGTATGCCAAAATGAGATGGCTTTCCTGGTAGATTGCACATATTGTCCTAATGTGATTTTCAGTTTTTTATCTTTTATCCATGATACTGCTTACTGAAGTACCAAAAACTGATAACTACATAGTCATCTGTTAGGGTTATCATTATTTAAAATAGCCAAGTCTATACCATATTTTGCGTATGGGCCAAGGGTATCTACTCAGCTGTACAGGGTAGATTTCCTGGCCTGTAAGAATTTCACAATGAAATATTTGGATTTATCCATGAGGATTATGTCTAGTCAGGCGTTCAGTATAGCAAAGGACATCTGACATGCAAACCATGTTAGTCCTAGAGTTATCTTAACTAGTATTCCTTAAACTGCAGTTGGTCACACATCTGTCACTCCTGTAAGGAATGTTTCTGTTTCTTAATACAAATGATTTATCACTTTGATTTTAAAGAACAAACAACATTAAAGCATGCCTCTGAGAAACTGATAAATAGACTGGTAGCACTCTATTCAGGTGATACATTCTTTATATGTTTTCTCTTGTTTTCACTTTTTTTAAACTAAGTCTATTTCCATGGCTGTTGTGCTGAAGAGTCCCCATCTTCCTTACCTTGAAGTCACAATCTCTCTCCTTTTATAGGACATCATAGCAGCTAATGATGATGTCCCAAAGAACAGCTCCTATAACTTCACATGATGGATATCACAGTATGGATCCTGTTCTAATCCAGATTCCCTTAACAAGGCCCTGTGTTCCTTGTTCCTTTCAGCACAGGAGGCCAAATTATTTATCAGAGGCCAAAATGGTGTGCCTGGGGCTCAGAAACATGCTTCCTTGCCCCAGTCCTCACCACTGCTTTTTATCTCACTGCCCTCAGTTCCAGTTGGTTCAGTATGTTAATTTCAAAATATTTTATGTTGATTACAAATTTTAATTTTTTCATTAAGCTGGAGAATTTTGGGTTGATGAAGAAGTACCTTTCAGAATTCCCAGGAGAACATGGGTGGGGCTTTTTGTAGTAGAGGAGTGAAAAGATGCTTAAGTACCTAGTGGGGAGACTGTAGGAAAAGACGCATCATTTCACCCTCTTCTGGGCAGATGCAGAGTGATTTTCTGTAGGTGGCAGGAGCATTGAATTTTGTTCCTCTGCCCAGCAGAATCTTGTTGCTGATATACAACCTGTTCTGTTATGCAGCCCTATGTCCACCAATGGGTAATAAATATATGTCTGTTTTTTCTGCGGAAATACTCAGCAGTGAAGTAGTTAATGCTGTGATTGAGTATTGTACCACACTGTCATGTGAGGCAGTACACATCTCTCTGAGTTACTGTTTCAGGCCAACTGTAGATTCAGGCAGGCATCATTGCTGTAGTAGTTTGTTCAGTTGACAAACTCAAGGTTTTCCTCCTAGATATAATAAAAAGAAAACTAAAGCCTTGCAAATCGCATGTCTGTCCACTCTAAGTCCCTTTTATGCATTAAGAATAGTAAATGACCTTGGTATAAATGAGAATTCATCCCTAAAGTTGTGGGGAAGGAAAGGTTAGGTTCTGGAACACAGTTGCATAGGAGTTTAAAAAGGATCTACAATTACACAGCACCCTGTAAAACCATATAATCCCATTATATCTTAAACCCTGGCCTTTCATAATAAGAAGTGGAAAACAAGCAAAAAGTGCATGTGTGTGTGTGTGCATGTGCACACGTGTGTGTAGAGAACCAAGAGTACCCTTAATTAGAATGTTTTCAGTATGATATTAAGTCATAGCTTGATACTTTGTGTGTGCCAAAACAGTGCAAAAGACGCATGCATATGTTTTAAGAAAAACAAACCATTCC